GATAGTCGAATTTCCGACAACAACATTTTTAACTAAAGCAAGCCACATGCCAGTTTTGATGCAGTTATAGGGCTTTATCTTGTAGTGCATGCTTGGTATGAAGTATTAGATGAGAGAATTATCAAAATTTTAGCTTCTCTTTTATTTTCTTTTATAATACTATAAACGTGCTAATGGTGTAAATGTTCCAATAGATATCTTGGTCATGCATTAGTTTTTCTTGTAGCATTGAATATTCTTCGAAAGATGGTTGTAAATACCTGATATCCTCATGCTTGTATGAATTGAGTGTATTTCTTTTGATATCTTCTTTTTATTGGCAAAATATCACGGCTTTCCCTAAAATTATTATGAAATAGGAGGCTACTTTGTTAAAATATGTGAAGTTTTTTTTTTTTTTTGCATTGAAATTTGGTTACAAGCCAGGTTTTCTGTGGTGTGGACTTGCTTGACTTCTGTTTGGCATAGTTGGGAGTCGAAAGTTGATCCTCATATTTTCCGCTAGTTTCTACTTAGGATCTTGGATGGATGATAGCAGACATCGCGAAAATGGAAGGAATAAACCACCTCAGGGTCAGGTAGCTGCAACTAATCCCTGCACATAATGGCAATAATCGAGTACCCATCTTTTTAGATAACCATTTAATTTCATGTATATAACCATTTAATTACATATAATATATAACATTAAAATTATGTGCTGATTAATCATGTTTAAATGCTGTATTTCAGTGGTTTATGCAGCATCAACCATCGATGAAACAGATAATGGCCATTATGGCTGAAAAGGCTGCTCCTATCCATGAAAGAAATTTTGCCCTTTCTAGAAAAAAGGCTGCCCTAGCCGAGCGAGATGTGACTATCCTGCAACGAGATTCTGCAATAGTGGATCGTAATAATGCCATGATAGAACGAGACAAGGCTATTGCTACTCTTCAATATCAGGAAAATGCCATGAATGGTGGTAATGTGTCACAATGTTCATTCGGATGCCAAATTTCACATGGGATGAAACACATACCCCATCTTCAGCAGCACGTACACCACTCCCACATGAGTGAAGCTCCATTTGATACCGGGGATACACACGTGAATGATACCATTCCATTGTCCCCAATAGCTCCCGAGCCTGCAAAGTCACACGGTACAAAGCATGCAAAGAAAGCAAAGGTGGTAACATCTACAAGGAAGACTACAAAATCATCAAAGAAAGTTAAATGGGAAAGTGAGGACATTGACAGAACATTGTTTAAAAAGTCACAAGGGGAAAGTGGGTCTGATATGGGTTTCACCAGTGACGAACTTAATATGCCACTCGGAGGGGAAAAGCCAGGTTGGAAGGATCAGGACCTTGGACTGAACCAGGTTGCATTTGACGAGTCGACCATGCTAGTACCTGTCTGCTCTTGCACTGGAGCTTTCAGGTCGTGCTACAAATGGGGTAATGGAGGTTGGCAATCTTCATGTTGCACGACCAATTTGTCAATGTATCCACTGTCGGCAGTGCCTAACAAGCGACATGCTCGAATCAGTGGTCGGAAAAGATAAGAAAATAAACAAAAAAAGATAGCTAACAGAAGAAAATAATTAGCTGAATGCTGAATTCATTTCATACATTCACCAAAATCTTAATTCCATTTTGTGATGAATTCTGTCACTTATATATACATACAATGCTATGTAAAATAAAGGAATTTGTTACAGTTTGTTATCAACAAAATATACACGGCAGTGTCCAGCATGTGGTCCAACAGAATGCAGGTAGAATATGCTGGTAATGCTTAGACTCTTGATTCATTTTCCTTCTAGATGCTTATCTCCATGTTGGATACTGATATCACTTCACCTTCATGACTGTATGGACACTTCATCAGCCAGCTGTTTGGGTCGATCTTCATCATTTAACAGCCCCCGCAAGATGGAAAGGAGATACCTATTACTTCCATCTTGTTCATGTAAGAATAAAGACTAGAAGAGTTCAATGCCTTTGTTAACATGTCTGCCACTTGAGAAGTAGTATGGACATACTCAGTAGCGATGCTTCGACTTTGTATCTTGTTTCGAACGAGGTAGCAATCAATTTCTATGTGTTTGGTTCTTTCATGGAAAACCGGATTAGTGCAATATAGATAGCAGATTTATTGTCGCAGAATAGTTGAGTGGATGGTTGTGTTCGATCTATAGAGTTTCAAATAGGAATCTCATCCATGTTAATTTACAGCAGACTTGCGCCATTGCTCTGTACTCAGCCTCAGAGGATGATCTTGAAACCACACCTTGTTTCTTTGATTTCCATGACACCAATGATGATCCTATGAAAACGCAATAGCCTGTCACAGATCTTCTAGTGTCTGGACAAGCTCCCCAATCCGAATCCAAATAACCCTTCAGTTGGAGTTCTGAGGTAGCAGAATAAAATAGTCCTTGAACTGGTGCTTTCTTGAGATATCTCAATACTTTGTGTGCAGCATGAAGATGTGGCACTCTTGGCTTGTCCATGTATTGACTCAACAACTGAATTGAGTAAGATAAATCTGGTCTTGTTATAGTTAGGTAGAGCAGTTGCCCTATCAACCTTCTGTAGATGGTAGGATCAGCAAGTAAATTCCCTGTGTCCTTGGCCAGCTTGATGTTTTGATCAAGAGGTATCTTGGATGGTGCTGAGCCTAAGGTACCCGAATCTCTTAAAATATCTAGGGCATATTTTCTCTAACAAATGTATATTCCACGATCTGATCTTGCAACTTCAATCCCTAAAAAATACTTCAACTTTCCCAAATCTTTGATCTTGAACTTCGCATCAAGAGCAGCCTTTAGTTCGTTGATGGTATCAATGCAATTTCCTGCTAAGATAACGTCATCAACATACACTAGAATAACTATAAATGAGTCTTGAGTGGTTTTAGTGAATAGGCTATAATCTGCTCTCGATTGAATGAAACTATGTTGAATGATAAAACCAGATAACTTTGAGTACCATTGTCGGGAGGCCTGCTTAAGTCCATATATACTCTTGCGAAGTTTGCAAACCTTTGAACTCCCATCACTAGCATGTCCAGGTGGTAATTGCATATAAACTTCCTCATCAAAATCTCCGTGTAAAAAGGCGTTATTAACATCTAATTGATACAAGAATCACCCATTTATAGCTGCAAGTGCAAGCAAACTTCTAACAGTGACGAGTTTTGCCACTGGAGAAAAAGTTTCATGATAGTCTTGTCCTTCTAGCTGTGTGTAACCCTTCGCGACCAACCTTGCCTTATATCTTTCAATGCTTCCATCAGCATTAAACTTTATTTTGTATACCCATTTGCATCCTATTGCCTCTTTATTAGGTGGCAAATCAACAATGAGCCATATATCATTTAATTCAAGTGCTTCAACCTCGGTTCTCATGGCCTCACACCATTCAGGGTAATTGACAGCTTCTTGATAATTTTTGGGTTCAGTTTGCGAAGTTATGGAAGTGACAAATGCTTTATGAGGGATAGATAACTTATCATACGACATACTAGCATTAAGGGGATAAGGAGTACCTGAATGAATTGAACCTTCTGCCTTGTCCAAGTTCTGGTATGGGATGAATGAAGTGGCCTGTTGGCATACAAATTCCTTCAGATGCAGGGGAGCTTTCCTGATTCTGGTAGATTTTCTTAGAAAGTGAGGGATGTTTTGATCTGTTTCTATGTCTGTGTTATGCAAATCTATTTGATGTATGGTCTGATCAGTTTGAGCATCTGTTGAACTAATGTCTTCGATAGTTTTGATAGGGCTATAGTCAGCTGAGGATTGGCTATTGGATTCTAAGGATTCTTGAGGTGTGTAATTTTCAGATGTGGGAGTAAGAGGATTTTGAGGAAAACACAAATTAATAGGATTTGGCTCATCATTAGCCTTTGCACTTTCTTTAAAAGGGAATAAGGTTTCATGAAAGAAACATTTATAGATAAGAAAATTTTCTTGGTTTCCAGATCAATGAGTTTATACCCTTTAATTCCGAAAGGATATCCCAGAAAAATACATCTCCTAGCTCTAGAATCGATTTTATGTCTACCTTGTGTAAGGATTGTGGCAAATGTAAGACAACCAAACACTTTGAGGTGCGAATATTTTGGCCTCTTCTGAAATAAAGTTCAAAAGGACTTTTGTGCTTCAAAGTAGCTGAAGGAGTCCTATTAATAAGGTAGACTGCAGTCAAGATACAGTCATTCCAATACTTCAGTGAAATACCACTTTGGAATCTTAGAGATCTTGCAACATTCAAAATGTGTTGATGTTTCCTCTCAACTATGGCATTTTGTTGAGGCGTTTCAACACACGTTTTCTGATATATTATCCTCTTTTGAAGATAGAATTGTTTCATGTCAAATTCCCCCCCATTATCAATAACATTTATCTTAGTTTCAAATTGTGTTTCAATCATAGCGCAAAAATTTTGTAACATGTTTGAGGCATCAGATTTTAATTTCAGCATGTACACCCAGGTGCATCTGCTGAAATCATCTACAATTGTTAGAAAATAACGTGATCCATCATAACTCACTTCATTGCAAGGTCCCCAAAGATCAGTATGTATTAAATCAAAGCATTTTCTTGATTTGTGTTGACTAACTGGAAAAGAGGGCTTATGCATTTTAGCTAAGGGGAAAACGCAATGTGGCTTGGAATTAGCCAACTTAGGTACTTCGTCTATGTAAGAAAGGACAGAATGAGAAGGATGTCCTAATCTATAGTGCCAGACATCCAAATCTTCAGAAGGTTTGAAAACAGAAGCTGAAACCGAGGGAGTTATGGCTAGATGAGTCAATGCCTGTTGAAGAGCTGTAGGAAGGACCTTGGCTTGTAGGATATGATAGAGGCCAGACTTCAATTCACCCATTCTAGTCGTTGTCCAAGTCAAAAGGTCCTGTATGTAGCAGCAATTAGAGAGGAAAATAACACAACAATGTAGGTCCTGAGTAAGCTTTCTAACAGATATTAAATTGAAATTGAAGGAAGGAATGCAAAGCACATCACGAAGGACTAAGGCTTCTGTGATTTGAACTGTACCAATCTGAGTTGCGGGTAAAGTGTTTCCATTTGGTAATACTACTGAGCAATTAGTCTGTCTCTTATCACTTGAAAGGAATGATGGTGAACAGATCATATGATCTGATGCACCAGTATCTAAGATCCAAGGAATGTAGTTGTTATTTATAGATTTATCCTTTGTGTTAGATGGGCAATAGAGCATACCAGAAAGCTTTGAAATAGAATTATCTGAGGTTGTAGGGACAATACTTTGAACTTGATTTATTGAAGAAATGGAGGACTGACTAGTTGATAGTTTGAGAATTGCCATGAGTTGAGTATACTGCTCTTGAGTTAATGATAATTGGTCTTTGTCATTTTGTTGTTCCTGATTTAGAGGCATGAGGGCAGTAGCTTGATTTGCTGTTGATCTGAACTTGTTCTTTCCTTCATATCTGCGACCTGTTGGATATCCAATCAATTTGAAGCATTTCTCTGCCTTGTGTCCTAGCATTTTGCAATGGGAACATATTGGTCTATTAGGGTTGGCTTTGAAGCACCTCTCAAGTGAGTGCCCTGCCATTTTACAGTGAGTGCAATAATAGCTCTCTTTCTTTTGTGATGAAGTGTTCAGTCTCTCATTGGCCAGTAAGGATAAGGTCTCACTAACAGGACTCTCTATAGAAATCTGTCGCCTCTTCTCTTCCTGTTGGATGGTTGCATAAACCTCATTTAAAGTAGGAAATGGTTTCATCAGTAGGATTTGGGCTTTGAGATTTTTGTATGATTCATTCAACCCCATTAGGAATTTCATCACCCAATCCGTTGTTGATTTTCGACCACCATTTTCAAACCTCCACAAGTACAATTGGGGATGAACTCATAGTTCAATAACTCATCTAGAAGAGTTTTGAACTTAGAAAAATAGACATTTACCTCATCCTGATTTTGTACCAGCATTATCTGTCGAACGAATTAAAGTATTTAGCTGGGAGCATTTTGTTGTGCAAACCTCTGCTCCAGTTCCAGCCACAGCTGATCTACCGTTTCAGCATACACGGTAATGCATTTGATGTCTACCGTTATTGTGTTTTGCAACCACGTGATCACAATATCATTACATCTTAGCCAGTGTTCCATCAGTGGGTCGTTTGGGTCGTTCGGTTCACAGAGGCTTCCATCTATGAAACCCAACTTGTTTTTGATTCTAAGAGCTCGCTTCATGGATCTTGCCCAAGAGTGATAGTTGTTTGCCTCCAACATATGTGTGACCAATATAGCTCCTGTGCCATCGTTGCTGCCGATTAAATAAGGACTACTTGAGTATGTTGGATCATGAATTCTTGTATTGGATTCAGTATTAGGATTAATATTTGGATTGAGGAAGTATTCGAGACTTCCATATGTGATTCAGCCATTGATTGGCTCCGATACCATATAAGAAAATAAACAAAAAAAGATAGCTAACAGAAGAAAATAATTAGCTGAATGCTAAATTCATTTCATACATTCACCAAAATCTTAATTCCATTTTGTGAAGAATTCTGTCACTTATATATGCGTACAATGCTATGTAAAATAAAGGAATTTGTTACAGTTTGTTATCAACAAAATATACACGGCAGTGTCCAGCATGTGGTCCAACAGAATGCAGGTAGAATATGCTGGTAATGCTTAGACTCTTGGTTCTTTTTCCTTCTAGATGCTTCTCTCCATGTTGGATGTTGATATCACTTCGCCTTCATGACTGTATGGACACTTCATCAGCCAGCTGTTTAGGTCGATCTTCATCATTGAACAGAAAATGAATGGAAGTGCATTTAACAAGCTGCTTAGCCGGCTTGCTGCAGAAGGTCACGATATCTCAAATCCAGTTGATCTTAAGGACCATTGGGCAAAGCATGGAACAAACTGTTATATCACGATTAAATAAGTAGTAGAAGATACCGGACATGCAGGAGAATAATTCACGGGAAAACACGGATGCCCGATTCTTGATTTTAGAATGTTTAGTGTTGACAATGGAATGAAGGATTCAATTGATTGCCAATGTTAATGTTCAACCTTTTCTATATATAACACACAAGTATTGATTGAGCAGAAAAAGGAATGTTTTTATTGGTATAGCAGTGTATGTCAAATTATTCGGTTTTCTACAAAAAAGTTTGATTTTTGTAACAAAATTTTAATTTCTTTTTCTTGCGGTTTCCACAGTCTACATGTTACTAGATGCAAATGACTATATTTGATGAAAAGTGAAGGGGCTGTTCTCTTTGTGTTTCAGTTTTATATTTTGAGTTTTGAATTCATTTTGTGTTTTGTGTTTTGAGTGTTTGTTTTGAGATTTCTGAAAATGCGTTCTTTTTGTCATTCTGAAAAACTGTTTCTCAAAACATGAAAATTGAAAACGCGTTTACTTTGAAATTTTGAGAATATTTTTTTTTATAATATTTGATTCAAGAAATCTGATTATTCAATAAATTTTAGTAGTTTGATGTTAATATAGTATTAAATAACATATAAATTTTGACGTTGGTGAAACTTGAAATATTTGTTTCCAAATATAAAAAACACAAATTAAATTAAATTTGACAAATCCTTATTTTTTTCCTTGTACGTAACTTGTGACAATAATTAACAAGCATCAAGTCACAACCAAGTTTGGATAGATGTTTTAATGGAATTAATCTTAATTGAGTTTTTATCCATTTGTTCTCAGTTCCACTGTAATCATTTTTAAAAGTAGTTTTGTTCATGGAAGCGTACATTCATCTATTGTTTGCATCAAACTCGGAAGGAACATATAAAATTATAACTAATATAATTATAAAGACTTCATCAGGCCTAATGGACATTATCTTCCTCTGCATTCCATTAACTACACAACCAACATCACTAGACAGCAATGCCAAATTTATCAACCACTACAGATCAATAGCTCCCATCAAGGCAAATTATAAAAATTAGACAAGAGAAACCAACAGCAACATACAACCAACATCATGAACATCACAATAAAAGCAATGGCAATTCTAGTGGATGGAGAGGAGCAGGGCCGCCACGCCGAGGCAGTTAGCAAGCATAGATCTTTCCATCGACGTTTCAAGGCGCCATTGTCCTCCACCAGGGTGTAACCATCAGAATAGAACATTCCCAGTAAAAGAGTAGCTTGTGAGGCGTCATTGCCACCCAAAGATACACCTTTGAAACCTGATTGCTGAAGCTTTTCACACGTCCAAATCATCTCTTTATCACATAAAAGCCATATTTGAGAGAAAGATTTGGCTTTACTCACTGAAGAGTGGATTAAGATGTCTTTCAGTTTCATTCACTTTCATTCACAATCAGTTGAAGGAAAAGGCAAAGAATAAAATGTCAAGAATACAAAAACAATAAGAATATGCCACATTGAAATGGCTGGTGCCTTGATCTTGAAAGTAATTTCCTACCATGGAATTATGCATTTGGTTGTCATATTAGGAATGAGTCTGATCTCACCCCACTCCACTCAGATTAGTTCCATCAGCAGGACCACCAAAGGCAAAGAAGACATTCCCATAGAAGCACAAGTTAGACCAACACCATTCTTGCAACATTGATTAATAAGTACTCATGTCCAGTGTCCTAACCAAAACAATACTAAAATTTCAGCAAAATTTATAACTAAATTTCAAGTTCATTTCCCAAGAATAATAGAATAAACCAAAAATAGGCAAGACAAGTTTTCCACCAATCTCTAGCTTGCAATAACCAATTTGCGGGGACATAAAAAGCTCTTCTTATTTTCATAATTTTCCTAAAGCCCTCATTCAGACATAAGAAATGAATTTTCAGGAAGAATCTCCAAAGTTCATAAAATTGACACGCAGAAAAAATCATTAAAAAAAAAAAAGAATCGTTGACAGATAATCTTGTGAGTGCAAGAAAATGAGAATTACATCAAAGTCAAGTCTTTGAAGTTGCTCTTACAGCCGAAACCTAAGAAACATAAGCATAGAACAAAAGAAAAGCTTAAATTAAAAATTCAGTTAACTGCCCCCCTCAATTTACATAAATCACATCGAAACAAATGAAACCCACAAATTGCAGCTCATTACTAATTTTAAAATCCCGGAATAAGAACTTCTCTAGAAGGAACATAAGCAGAATTAATTTTTAAGAAGTTACGCAAGAGAAGAACAATGTAGAAATAGTTAAATAGAAGAAAAATAAAGGAGATTCTACCGATGGAGAGAATGGGTACCTCGAGACTGGATTTGGGAAGCCGGCGAGGCAAATTAGAGGAGAAGAACCCATTGGGTAAGAAGAAGGCGAAAATTGATGGAAGGAGGCCAATCGGTAGCTCAGCCCAAGAGAGGAAGAATTTTGGGGAAATGGAAAATGAGCGTTTTCCGCGTTTTGGTTTGGTGAGCTCGTTTTGGGAAGAAAACACTCGAAACACTCAAAACGGCTATTTGGACGTTTTGTGTTTTCTGTAGAATTTTTTTTTTTTTTTTTTCAAAAATTCATTTTCGAAAACGAGGAAGAGAACGCATTTTCATTATTTTGAAAAATCGAAAATAGAAAACGGTCCGAAAACAGCAAAGAGAACATGGCCGAAATTTTGAAGAATGGGAAATTAAAGAAAAAGTCTTGAATTTACGTATAAAATATTTTATTGTGTGATCGAAAATGAATATATATATATATATATAAAAGTTGAAAAAAAAAATCTTTCAAACAGGTAGTGAAATGAAATTTGCCGCGCGGATTTTTCAAGAAACATTGTTACCTAGTTTAATCTTAGTCACCTTCCAACGATAAAATAAAAAATAAAAAAAAATTCAGTTTTTGTCGGAAGCGCGTTTTTAACTTCGTGCCTGCACTGAGATAGCGAGAGAGAGTAGAAATAGAAACAACCCACTCCCTATTCGTCATTTTTTATGTAATCCAAAGTTTTTGTCCTTTTACGCACCCACACAATCTTTAGTTTTCAACGTAATCACCGCCATTTTCAGCGGGAATTTCGCAACCCTTAAAAAAAGGAAAATTTTGGAAATATTTATTCTTTCTTCTTTCTCAACAACGATGGATTCGTGACTGCAGAAATAGGTGTGGGACACGAATCAAATTGAGCCAGGTACGACCATTTGCTGGTATTCTGAATTCTAGAGATTGAAGTTATGCTATCCTCTGTTTGTCTTGTTTTCTTGATTTTAGGTTTCTATCGTGATTGAAAATCAGGTGTAAATGTACTGAATTCGATGTTTGACGATTTCAATTGAGCTGTCTGTAAAGCTAGTGTTTAGGGTTTTGGATAATCAAGTGGCATTACTATTTTGAGGCTCTTTTCTGTGTTCCCTTTTGGTTTTGGAACGTAATTTTTTTGTTTCATTGAGTGAGTTATCATAATTTTTTCATACAGTGTGAATTTTACGGATTTGTTCCCGGATTTAGTTGGTTTTTATGGCTCAGCCCCATTCGAAGCAACCTGGAAGTCAGAATTTTAGTCTCGGGGATTCTCAATTTAGATCTTTATCACAACCTACATTTTATGGTACCAATTGTTTGCCCCCTTTAAGCCCCTTGCCTCCTAGTGAGTCGTCATTGGTTTCATCAAACTCTAATCTCAAGGGTGCATCAATGGAGGAAATAGATGTCAGTTCCCAAGGGCCGCCACTTGCGCCTTCTTTTCCAAGGGAAAGCCTATTTCGTGGCAATGATTGTCTGCTCCCTCGCAAAGGGCATCGCCGTTCGAACAGCGATGTTCCATTGGGATTCTCGGCCATGATCCAGTCTTCACCTCAGTTGCTGCCAATAAGTGGCCAGGGAGTAATGGGGAGACCAATTATCAAGAGAGAGACTTTAGAAAATGATAAGCCTGTTAGGATGAAGAGATGTGAAACAGATTCAGTTAGTGATGGCAGGAGCAATGCTGAGGGGACGGGTGAGAGGAAATTGGAGGGAGAGGTTATAGACGACTTGTTTAATTCGTTGATGAATATGGATCGTGTGGACGGAATTAACTCTTCTGGTATGGAAAATAAAGATAAGGACAACATTGTTAGTGGTATGATGAATAATGGTAGTGACAACAGCAATATTGAATTAGAAAGAGTCTCGAGGCACGAGACAAATTCTAGGGAAAGATTCAAAAGGAGTGCTCAGGGAGATATTTCTCCCCCTGCCCGACATTTCAGGAGTCTTTCAATGGATAGTGCTTTTGGAAATTTCCACTTAGGTGAAGAGTCACCAAAGTTACCTACCTCTCTAGGTAATTGGGGGAGTCAGCTTTCACCAAGCAATTCAGTGAGTGAAAACCCCGCTAAGCTCAACTTGGACTTTGGAAGTGGTGAATTTAGTGAAGTTGAACTGAAAAAGATTATGGCAGATGAGAGGCTTGCAGAAATTGCATCATCAGACCCAAAACGTGCAAAGAGGTATGCTGTCAATGAATTTTTTTCCTAAAACATTCTCGTGTACTTCAAAACATTACTCGCTGGGAACATTCTGTGCCTTTTATCATTTTGTCTCAGGATATTGGCTAATCGTCAGTCAGCTGCTCGTTCCAAGGAGCGGAAGCTGCGTTACATCTCGGAATTGGAACACAAGGTGCAAACTCTTCAAATGGAAGCAACCACGCTGTCGGCCCAACTTACTGTTCTACAGGTGCGTAGTTGAGAACTGATGCATTTTCCTTTTGTTATTTTGATTGACTTCAATAATTTGGTAATTGGCACTTGTGTTTTTTTATTCCAGAAAGACTATGCTGAGCTAACAGTTGAGAACAATGAATTGAAATTCCGCCTTCAATCTCTTCAACAACAAGCCCAACTTAGAGATGGTATTCAATTTTCTTCCACAGTTACATTTGTTTGTGTCTACCTGCAATCTGAATGCTCAGATTTTCACCTGGATATGCATGTGTTTGCAGAGTATACCTCTCACAGGACTTTTAAGGCTACGTTGTCCTTTATTAGATTTAAAAAGAATGTATGGCTACTTTCACAATTTTATGAATTTCTATGGTTATGTTATAGAGTCATCTTATCTGAGTTCTGATATGAAGGATGAAATTTTATCTGACATCTGACTTTTGCACGTACTGCTAGATTTTTGTTCGTCTTTTTTAGTTAGTTGGTCTCGCTGATTCACTTCAGCAACAAAGCTGTTGAAATGATAACTATTCTATTGATTAGAATAAGAAACTTTTTTTTTTTTCAGATGATCAAATCAAATAAAATCATTATTCGCTTTAATACCTTCGAAGTAAAAGTTTTCACTTCAGACAATCAGGCAAAATCAGCTAATCCTTTCTTTTGCCAATAGATGGGACCAGCTACTAGAAAACTATGAAATCAATGTCCTTTATTGGTGGATTGTCTTCTCTTTTTGTTGTTTTTTGGATTGTGTTTAGGGGAAGAATGGTGGAGATTTGGAGTAGGGTTTAGAAGGATTTGAGAGCCCTAAACTTGCGTAAGGGCTCTATATGTTCACAATATTGCATGCTTTTGCTGTTAAACTTGTCATGTGGAAACATCATCATCAGCATTTTTGTGTTTGGGTCACCTTTTTCCATTTCATATTTATGAAGCCTGTCCTACTAGTCTGCTGAAGTAGCAATTTCCATTTATCAAATTATGAGGAACATATCTTTTGACCTTGTATTCGTTGCCTTTAGCTGGCTTTTGTTATAATTCATCGTGACAGAATAATCTGTAGTGCATTGTGTAAACAGTTAAATTCCCAGCCTTCTGGATGGTGACAGTGCAATATCTAGTGTTATGCAATATATCGCTTGTGGCCTATTGCCCTCTAGCCATACTTCTATAGGTTTTCGTAGGATACTTAGAAATATGGAAGGTTCAACCAAACCTGTGTTGCTCATTTTTTGACTGTAATGCATGCCGGCATGACTCGACACTTCTCCAAAGGCGGGCACGACGTGGCAAGCAGTCATCTCTGCAAGACTAGTTCTGCCAAAGCTCAGTGTACTATTGATTCTTAATATCAGTCGATGAAAGCAACTGTTCATCAATTATGGAATACGAATCAACTACAATGCTTGAGCAGGGATAGAACTCCAAGAATCTCTAGACAACTCTTGGAATACTCATTAATCCCTATGATATGTTTAGGAGACAAGTGATATGACAAGACATTAAATGGCTGAGAAATCATAGTAAAGTCTATGTTAATACATCACAAAGAGACCTACACCACTGAGCACGAAACTAAGTGAATGTTTGGTAGGTGATTAAATAAAAACTTTAGTGATTATAATCAGTTGGTATTACATAATGTGTGGATAATAAGTGGGTCATAAGAAATGTGTAGATTAAAACCGTGTTTGACCAAAAGTGATTATAAAAAAATCACTTCCCATACATGCCCTAAGTACTATCAGTGAAGGTCGATGTTGGTCTGCTACTGATTGTTGCATGTGGTTGAGGGGCTAAGCTGAGTGGTTACCCTTTGATATATTTAGCTGGGATTTCCAGTATACTGGATATAGCTTTTATATTCTATAGCATGTATGTGAGACTACAGTTTCAGATATGTCCCCCATAGATACTCCTTGTTTTACTTCCCATATTTTCTCCTGTTTCGTGGACTGGAAGTCTGGGGCTTAGATAAATGAAACGTCTGTTTCACATTTTCTACTTTACATGGCAGCACTGCACGATACGTTAACTGCAGAAGTTCAGCGTCTAAAGCTTGCAGATATGGAGCTCAGGGATGAGGGAAGAACGTCTAACTGCACAGGCCAGCAGGGACAGATGAAGCACCACATCTTTCAGAAGCAGCGCCAGCAGCCCAATCAAATTCAATGATTATCAGTTTCAGTATCCACAGGCAAGACCACACCTTCAGCTTCTCCTACCTCGGCGTAGTCTCGTGCAGAAGGAGTCAATCCCGAGTTTAGTTAAACTTATTGCTCTCGAAATACTACGCAGTGTTTGAGCTTTTTTAAGTGGAACGCAACTAGTAGAAGTGTGTTCATTTTGTTACATGTATTTCAAATTACACAGTGAATAATTGTTTTGTCCAGTGGACTGGTTTATAATACATAATAGTGAACTGCAGTTTGACATAAGAATGTTCTGTTGGTAATATAAATCACTTTCAAAGTTTATGTTTGGGAAACATTAAAAGTAACTTATAATTTATTTTTCAAAGTCAAACATTAATTTTTAATCACATACTACGTATAACCTCTAGTTATTATTTATTTATCCATTATTCGTTTATATCTCATCATGATTTTAATGATTTATAATTTTATCCAAACATAGAGAGAAAGAGCGAGCGAGCGAAAGGAATATAGCACTGAGCTTTGTCCATGTGACTAAGGCTCCACCATTTCTTCCTACAAAAACATTCTCAATGTTGCGGAAATGTTTGTGTTGACATGATAACGTCGAAGAATAAATTTCAGATCGAATAAAAATAAAAATATTAATTAACGTATAACTTATAATAGTTTGACATTTTAGGATTGAATATCAAATTTTAATAGATAATAAACAAATATTTTATACATTTTCGAATGAGGATTTTTTTTTTTAAAGGTTATGCTTTTTACTAGCGTAAGCGTGGGAAGCTTGATTTGTTGCTTACAAATGATGAATCATAGAAGTTCAGAAGTCGTGCGATTTTATGCAAACGCGAGAGAACTTAAAGTCAATTCAATTAAAAAATGTAGATTTTTATTTTAAGTTCCATATATGGTATATTGTTGGGATATGATGGAGATGGTAAAACAACACCAATTGCCACACTAAGAAGGGATTACAAAGTGGTAGGCAATCCATGTTATCATTCATTTAAGAAATTAGGGGAGAAAGACAAGGCAACTAATTGAAATCTAAGACCGACATTAAAGAAATAATAAGTTGTAAGAAATCTTTATTAACTTATTAAATAAACATATTCAATTGAATTGTTGTCATGTTACCCATCAACCACATGATGTGCACACTATCCCACCAACTGCATGAAATTGTACATGTGACATTCTACAAGACAATTTTTTCTCCTTTGAAATTGCAATAGTAGTGTACATTCTTCTTTTCCGAATAAAACTAAATCTCAACCTCTATGCGAGAGAAGAATTTATAAATATATAGAAATAAACAATATATATAAGTTAACAGTACTTGTGGGTTCATTGAAATGTACGATTGAAAAATGAAGTTTTAATTATTGACTTTTATTTAAATTTTAATTTAATTTCTCCATTAAACCAAATAGGGACAAAACATAATTGCTGAACAAATTTGCAATCAAATCATGATATCCCTTTCTGGTAATTGGTCATGCTCATGGACCTATCACCCAATAGTTAAGAGATGAGAGTAGTTTAAGAATTTTCTTTTTCCTTTTTTAAATTCATGGCCCAAGAAAAGTAAACGTGATGATTAATGGGGTGATTTAATCACTTCACTTGAATCTTGAAAAGACGATTCCATAAAATTTCGAGATCACTTTCGATACAAGCAAAAAAATAGGGACGGGGTAAAAGAAGAGATAGAAAGCTAGATTTAATTAACTTTTCCTAATTTTATTACCCAATCGAGTGAATTACAATTAAATTTATCGTATTGAACGCTACTTCGAGCTTTGTTGAATAACATTATTCCATATAATTCACCCGTAAAATCTTTTATTTTTCACTTATAATTTTTTTTTTTTTTTAAAAAAAAGATGATTTCTTTGATTAAAGGGAAAAAGCAATTTTGTTGTAGGTCCCACTTGTGAATATGGATATTGCAGCATGAGTTTGCAGACATGTGGCATGTGTCGACAATAAACTCTGTAAAGCAGTTGGTTGGTTACACTTATTGGTAGAGACACTACTATCCATTGACCCGACCCGGTTTAAGCTTTTGCATCCATACCACAATTTATAATTAAAGATTAGTGAAATTAACAAAAGATGCACATGGAAGTTGAACAATACTATGTAACAGTAATTTAATGTTTATTTTTAATAAATTCGAGATCGATTAATAAAGTTAACTCTTTATTATTATCATTCTATCCAATCCGTCGCTGTCTTTAGTCAAACATTCAGATATCCAGCAACTGTTTGTTGGGGATTAAAATAAGATTTTTTTGTAAATTTTGATATAAGTTGATGAAATGTGTTATTAAAAAGTTGTGGGTCCCATGAAATGTACAGTTAAAATTAACTGTTGACTTTAACTTATATTAAAACCCGAAGGTTTAATTTTCACCGACTTAAATTCTTTATCATTAAATGCATATAAATATAATATTATCCAAATTTATCTGGTAATATTCAACTGTTTGACTAGGTTCATGAACTTGTCACTTTCTAACAATTTGGTTTAAGAAAAGTAATCATGGTTCAGTTGCTCTAACAAACTTAGATAAACAATTATGAGAACCCACTTTATAAAAAGATATTTCATAACTCATAAAATTTTATTTAAGTACAGAACAATAATTAGATGTGAATATATAAAAATAATAATAAAAAAAATGGTTAGTGATGGATAAGGCAGATACCCTTTTCTTTTCTTTTCCAAGAGCAAATACTTTATTGGTAAACACGAGATTAAGCAAATATCATAAGATAAAGAGAAGAGGCGAATCTTCTCGTGTTTTATACTATCCATTAACGGATATAATTGTACAGAACTTGAAAACAGGAACCGGACCTGTCCTTCAACTGCTGTATTGGCGGAATCGAAAAGCAAGCGTGAACTATATTTAAGGCAAGTATTGAGTTCCGATTTCCAAAACTGCCCCTTTTTATCTGCTACAATTTCCGGCATAGTTCAAAAGGCCTCGTACTACTACTGGTGACTGGTCGAAACAAAAAATACACACTCTTTGAGAGAGAGAGAGAGAGAGAGCGAAGAAGAATGGGAAAATCGACTACATCATGCTTCAAGATCGTCACCTGTGGCAGTGATTCCATCGAACATGACGATCTCCAAAGTCCCCAAGTATACATCTATACGTATTTTTATTCATTTTGTTTTTCAAATTTAACTTTGTGTTTACAATTCTACGTTTGAGATTTGAATTCATGCCGTTCTTCGCTGCTTTTTTATTTGTTTCCTTCAAATGTAGAGTTTTGAGCTCGTTTAATGCATATGTTTTTGGCTTTGGTTTGAATTGATTTAACTTGATTTAAATATTGTTCGGGGTTATTAGCTCGTTTTACACTATTTCTCACATCTCTATATTCGGAATCTACTCTGCGGGTTTCACTGGTTTCTTTCTTCAGTGCTGTGATGATGATTCATAAGTGTGAATGACATTGTGCAAGAAAATGTAGTTGACCTTATCAATTGGAATGAGGATGAGGGTAGAAGAAAGCAAAGTGATTTTGCTGCGGTTACAAGTTAATATTCACTGTCATTTCTGGTACACTAACCTTGCAAAGCACTATTTCTACATTGGAAAAAGAAAATCAGGCTGCTGAATCTATGCCTTAAAAAGATTCTGGTGCTTTCTCCTTGAAATTGCTCTTATACAGAAGGAAATGGCTCACATGAATCCCGATTTGTTCTGTAACTTATTGTTTTAATTTTGGATTTTTCCTTTCTGTATGGAACCCAGCTGCAACTTAGGATAGTTTAACCATTATTGTGTTTCCTGTTTTAGGTTTACATGCTTCCATAATTAGTATACATCTAAGCAGTTTCATGGTCCTTTATTGATCGTCGTTTCTATTACTGCTGTTGGGAAAAGATTATTGACTGGGTATTGGATATGGCCTCTCGTGGAAGTTTCTCTAAGAAGTGCTTATTTTGGTTGCATGATAATTCCAAATCTTCAAAGTGGGTAGACTGGACATTTATGAATATAAAGGTTAAACGAGAAGGTTGGTATACAAAGTGTTCATATTTAAAATAATCTTATTGAAGCTAAAGAAGAAGAAAAATGGTGTACGGGAACTGAAACGTTGGTAAAACACGACAATTATGTGAAATGAGAGCAACTGTTGAATCATACCACAATTTTTATTTAAGGAAGAAGGTAAAAACTACCTAAATCACTCGAGATATGAGTGCAAAAATGCTCAAGGTTTTGATTAATTTTTCTTTCCTATACTTGCTTTTGACTATGTAAAATTCCGCAATTATGGAAACTAGAAAGTTGTTAAGATAGTAGATATTTATATGAAATTTGGAACATGCATAAGTTTACCAAATAGAGGACCGCAATTGAATAATGGACTTAAATTGATTATGAGCTCGATTGGTAAATATTAAAATCCAATTAAATATGAAAAACTAGCCGTTATTGGGGTCCTGCTCGTCTAATAAAAGTCAACAATAACAGCTAGTTTTTCAATTTTAATCCGATTTTAATCTCTACCGAACACGCCCTATGAAAGATTTATGAATTACTAGAGAACCTTATATAATTTTAACATTAAGAGCATGAACTGTATACATGAATGAATTATGCAACAACTTTATATTCTTGAAACTTTTTATGTATGATGATATTATCAGCCAAGTGTAGGGTTTAAACTGCTTAAGTACAGTCGTTAAAAACTTGATATTGAAGTGCTGAAGTCAACAACGGTAACATTAATATTCTGTGGTTGGTGTGTCATACTTGTGCATTAACTTTGAATACGCAGCACACCTAATACGACACTATTACTGGTGTTTCACATGTGGCCTATTAGTGCTGTTTTTCTCATTGCTTGCCAGTATCTTCATGTTGTCATGCCCTGTACTGTCCATCAGACTAAGACCATATTTTCACGCCGCATCTTCATATAAATGTATCATGTAGTTGTGCAGTTTTAGGGTGACGAAGTTTTAAATTATTCTGGTTAGCTATCATTTTATTCTCCATTTTGTTTGCAGTAATTACTTATTTTTTATGCAATGTAGTTACTGTGCAGTTAATGTTTATGCACTACGTGCCCAATTCTTTATTTCTTGTGTAGAACATCACTAAAGCTTTCTTCTTCGAAGATACAAAATCTAATGATGCTTCTCGGTGAAAGCTTTGACAGAAAACTGCAAAGCTGTCAATTTATAGTAAGCATTACAATTTTGGAAGAAATTGTTCGGATTCATTAATGTCATTCAATCGTATTTGCAGAGCAAGGGTTTAAGTGATAGACGTGGGTGGAGTTTTCGGAAGAGATCTGCTAGACATCGAGTGTTAAGCAACACCGTCATCTCTGAAGTAGCTTCTTCTGCGAATAAGGAGAGCCCAGAACCTACCACTGTCAACTTCCAAGTGGAACCTAACTCAACTATTCCCGAAAGGACCTCCGCTGTTAAATGGACAGATGAGAAAACTGAGGTGTCAACTCAAGTGAGCCCAAAATTATTGGAAATCATAGCTACGAGAGAGGATGACACTGGAGCCGATGCTTTCCCAGATGAGTCCATTGTTATTGTAATCCAGACTGCCATTAGGAGATTTCTGGTATGCTTTTTTACCTTATTATTTTTCAGATGTTCTGAATTACATCAGCCGCTGTTTGTATAGATTATTCTCATTATACCTTACTAGGCTGAAAGAGCGCTGTTGAAGCATAAGAATATAATCAAGTTGCAAGCTGCTGTACGAGGGCATCTAGTTCGAAGGCATGCTGTGGGAACTCTTCAGTGTGTTCAAGCCATAGTCAAAATGCAAGCTCTGGTTCGAGCCCGTTGTGCTCGCTCACTAGTAGAAGGGTCGGGTGCTTCAGAGAAGCAGAGTGAGAACTGTGGAGTTGATAATCATGATCCAACACTCTTGGTAATTACATTCCATTCAATTAGCTAGTAAATTTCCTATATACTTCCCCTCTCCCCAGTCTACTCTGTGATTGTAGGGTTTTGTATTTGCCTATTGTAATATTTTATCTACATGGAGTTTTAATTAGGATATATTGTGTCTGTTCGATATTTTAAACATGGTAGTCAAAGTACCCCTGCTGTTTCTAGCAGTGCTTAAGTTGATGTGTAGTGTTCTAGAAAAACCCAGAAGGATTTCGAGTCATGGGTTTAGTGGTTCTAACTTTTATCTGCTGTTAGGTTTTTTTGAGGGATATTTAAATTTTGGGATTTCGAGGCACTGAGGTTTCTCTTGAAGTTCATCCTCATTCTCCCTTTCCTGCTAAAAGTGAACATATTCATATTGCTTAGGAATTTGGGTTTTGATTACTCTTGATATCATGAGAGAAGGGCCAAACTATGTCATTATTCTCGCTTTCCTTGTCTTTTTTTTTTTGGGGGACTCAACTGCTTTCTTGATGTTGATCATTTTCTTTGTTTCCAGAAGAGTAAAAAGGAAGCCAAACCACATATCACGTATGCTTACGTTTCTATTGAGAAGCTACTCAGCAATAGATTTACTCAGCAGGTAAATGGAATGCAATATATATTATATGTGGTCTGAACTTGCACTGTTTTTCATAAACATAGAATTAGTATGTCATTTTTCCAAACCTTGACTTGAATCCTGGTTTTAATATAAGCTTCTGGAATCAACACCAAGGACCAAACCTACCGAAATCAAGTGTGATCCTTCAAAGTCGGATTCAGCCTGGAAATGGTTGGAAAGGTGGACATCACTTTCATCAATTAGCAATGAAAAGCCACAAGAATCAGAAGTTTCTGTAGAGAAGTATGAGAAGGAAAACCTTACGCATTCTGGCTGCAAAGAGGAAACTGTAACTAGATCTGAATGGGATTCTGAGTCTAATAACTTCAAGAATGATGTAGGAGCATCATCCAAGGCACTGGAAAACGAGCTGATTACTAATGATGCTGACAACTTAGATCCCCAAGCATGCAGATCAACCTCACCATCGCCGAGTCATAAATTGGAGCCACCTCAGACCCAGAACATTGATGAATCAAATTCAAAATGCAGTATCACAGAAACTTTTGGCGTGCAGATGAAAGAATCAGATCTGACGCCGAAGGTGGAACTCAAATCTGTTCCAGATAAGGGGGAAACAGAAATTGAACAAGTTGGACTCCATGCAAAAAAGTTCTACCCTGAGCAACCTGAAACTGATACGAAGAGATTTTCGTTTGGTTCGAGGAAGGCAAGTAATCCTGCTTTTATTGCCGCCCAGTCAAAATTTGAAGAATTGAGTTCAGCTGCCAATTCTACAAAATTGACTGGTTCATCCTGTCAAGACCCTGGAGTCGAATCCAATGCCGACAAGACTTCTTCCATGGCAGATCAACCATTTGGGTCTAGGGAGGTTGGCTTGGCTGAGAATTTTGTTCCCCATGCTTCGATGGTTCAAATTGGTGGATCTGAATGTGGAACTGAACTTTCCATATCTTCGACCCTTGATTCACCAGCTAGGTCTGAGGTTGAACCAGTTGAATCTGAACAAGGACAGAAAATTTCAAACGGGACTGCCTTTCCTAACAGCAATGAGAACCTTGGAGTGGAAACAAATGATGAGCCTAGCATCCCAGGAACTGATCTATCATATGCCAATTCAGATCAGTTGGAGAGATATGACAGCGTTAACTCTGTTAATGATCGAAGTGTTGATTCTGTGGTTTCTGTAGATTCACCACAGGTAGAGAAGAAGCCAGATATAGATCCAAGCAATGTGCAGCGGGAGCTGGGATCCCAATCAAGCTATCCAGTGTCCAAGTCATCGCCTGAAGCATCTCCAAGAAGCCATGTAACTGTCCCTGAATCTCAAGCAACTCCTTCTAGCCTAGTGTTGAATCCCAAGAAAATCAGAGGTGAAAAAAGTGAAACCAGTCGGAAAAGTAGGTCTTCTGATAAAAGGTCTCCTTCAAATCCTAATCAAGGTTCTGGTGCAAGTAGTAGCTTGGAGCAGATACCTAAAGAACATAAAATCGGAAAGAGAAGAAACTCCTTAGGTTCAGCAAAACTTGATCATGTGGATCAGGAACCAAGAGACAGTAGTAGCAGCAACTCTCTCCCAAGTTACATGCAAGCGACTGAATCAGCAAGAGCCAAAGCTATTGCAAATAGCTCTCCAAGATCAAGTCCAGATGTGCAAGACAAGGATACCTTCATGAAAAAGAGACATTCCCTACCTGGTGCAAATGGAAGACATGGATCGCCTTGTATCCAGCGGTCTCTGTCTCAGGCACAGCAGAATGCAAAGGGAAGTGAAACTCAATCACCTCAAGGTATATCTAAATTTCAATGTTTACTTGATTTATTTCCTTAAACTAAACCAAGTGTCTTCATGCTTGAAGCTGTCTTCTTATGCTACACTAGTTGAGTCCTAAATGTTTGAAAGGTTCTGCCATTTCAGAAACTAATATTGTGCTAGCTACCCTGTTATATTCTTGCAGGAGAGAGACTATCTATAGCATGACTGATACTGATCCCTATATCCTGCAAAACACATATTTATAATGGAAACATGTTATTTGTGTCGTATTCTTGTAATATATTGTCATCCCCTCTGAACTTTCACTGAGTTTTAGTATTCCGGTGTGTATGTTTATTCATCACATTTAAAAACTGAACTTTGAAAGGAGATCATTTACCTTCCATCAGCATACAATGGGAAAACATTTCAGTATTAAGGTCATGTGAGACGTGTTCTTTGAGGGAAAGCTGGAAATCCATCAGCCAATATCAACCCCCATGCATCACTCATCCTTTGCCACAGCCACTCTCTTCCTAGATACATCATGAGCCTTTAACTCAGTCCCTTCCCTTTTGCTAGTCCACTTTCCATCGCATAGATGTAACAGGAAGGCCATATTGGTATTTATGTCTAGTGCTTGAGTTGAGGGTTCTCAAATGGATCATTTGTGAAATCTATAACTTTGCACAAAAGTCTAGTGCTTATATATCGAAGATATGGGTTTGTTTTCTTCCTCAGCAATTAAACACGTGACTCAGACATCAATAATTGTAAGGTGTCAGCATGCCCACTGTAGCAGTTGTAAAATACAGTTTGGACACAAATGCACGTCATGATACTTGGCCGCTGCTGCAGTTTTTTTTTTTATTTGACCGCAATGCTAATTGGTTTGGTTCCTTTTCAGAAAACATGAAAAGATCGAGTACCCAATACCCTTGGAAAGTCTTCACCTTCTCCAATTCATGTGGAGTCTGTCAGTTAGACCATCCTTGCAATGTTGAAATCATGGTGGATTGAGATTCAATTTCTCTTCGTAGGTAGACCCGACAATGTCCATGGTATGGGCATGCTATGCTGCTCACAAGCATGTCGAGGTGGGGTAGAGGGGAAGGGGCCTTGGTGCAAGGTCCAGTTGTGTAGAGCAAAATAAAGCAACAGTGGTGTTAGGCTGGCCTTTAGTCTATTCTTGTTGCCATCTGGATGTTGTTTTTCCTTTGTAACTCTAATGAGCACCTTTATGCTAATCATTGCTGGATGGCAACATGTAAAAGCTTGCAACTCTTTTCGAACTTTACTAGGTAGAAAAAATTATTTCCAAAGCCAGATGTTCCTATAACTGCGACATGTACACGTGATCGAAGTTGTTGGGTTTGAAGCAGCAGCTAGTGGTAAAATAGCCTTGTTGTCAATTCTGAACTTTGATTCTAAATATGCGATCTTTTTTATTGTTTTTGGTGCACAAAATTAGAAATGTGTGTTATCTCAAAGTAATTGTTGACATCGTTGCACTTGCTTATTCCATGTATCCTCCTTGTTTCAGATCGGAAGTGGCGAAGGTGAATGTAATCTCTTGATGCCAAGCAAATAGTATTTGACAAGTTCTAAGATGGCCATTTTGTGCTGACCGCCTTGAGTTGATTTCCTTGCTTTTACTAAACAATGCTTTGGAGTTGTATTTTTCTATTGGAGAGACTTAGAGTGAGGTTTTGCATAAATTACCAAATTGCTGTTTTTCGTTTTGCTTATTTGTGACTCTTGAATCCTCCTGAAAGTTAACTTGCTTTGCCTATAGAGTTTGATTTGTGTGTTCTTAACAATGTTTTTGGCAGCTTGGCCACCTCATTATAATTTAGAGACAGTATATATACATCTTTCTTTGGAAAAATTAGTTTAGTGATGACATTGTCCTTTTTTATTCAATATCACGTGTATTATGGTCCTATCAAATGAGTTACGTCACTCTCCTCCCATTGGAAGGGAATTCAGGAAGTGGCCGAGTTGTAGCCTATCTTGTTGTTCGTGGATCAGGCTGTTCTGGTGGCTGCTAGTTTTTGGCCTCTCAATTTGGGGAGTGGGGCTCTTGTCATGGGCCACTCGACATGGATTAGACTACTCGAGCAATGAAAATTTTGTCCCGAGTTGGGTGCCCGAAGTTCAGAAATCCTAGATTGGAACAAATTTTGACGTGAGCAGCCAAAAAAATGGACCATATACCAGATTTTACAGCTCACTTTATACTCTTTTTAAGTGCATTGGGTCTTAAGGTGAAGAATGTGGCTTGCAAGTTGCGTTGCACATAAATATTTGATGTTTTTCTCTTGTTCGCTTTGATATTCAAGGCTGGTAGAATCGGATATTACGAAATGTGACTTCTACTTTTACAAATACTTGGCCAATTAGTTGGTCGAGTACATGTTTAGACTCTGTTTGATACACATTATTGAATGGAGAATGCATTTTAAATAATGATTTGATAAAAAAACGTGGTTAAAAAATGAGGAAATATTTTGAATTTGCGTGTAATATTATTTTATTAAAGAATGTGTAGTTGAAAATGAGTTTTGAAAAAACTGAATTTTTGTAAAAATGTGGATCAAACATGGTGCTAGTTTATTCAACTGTGCCCTTATCAAATAATATGGCCAAAGTTTCATTTTTTCTCACCTCGTATAAGTCATTGAGAATTTTCTCGTAAACTTACAAGTAATTACTGAAAAACTTTAGGACCACTGAAGTGATTTACCTTTCCCGAAGAATTCTTTAATTTTTTTATTATTTTTATTTTTTCTAATACTTTATTTTTTAACGAAATTAAAGATAATTAATTACCCCAACTCCTAAACAGAATACACTATGGATAAAAACGGGTAATTATATTACCATAACAAATTTTATTTACCACACTACATTATAATTACACCACACCAAATTTACAATTATAGTTTTAATCCAATAAAGCTAAAGATAAAGGGAAAAAAAACAGTAAATCACTCACTTAACAACTCACCAGCTTCACACTACAAACCCGTCGAAGAAATTGAATATCCAATTAACCGAAATTAGGATTTGCGGAACAAAAAATTGACCCAAACGAACAAAAATAAAACTTGGGTTTCCTTTACATATACACATATTTATATATATATTTCAGATTCGGAGTTGGAACACTCCAACCTATTTCTTAAACAAGAAAGCAGTTCTCTCACTTCCCCATTGGTTTCTCTCTCTTGATTATTGTCTGAAATGGCATAAAAGAATTTTGGAAGTTTTCATAAAGGAATTTTATGGCCTTTTGAAAACACTTTAAACGATGCACCACATAGAAAAGGGGTATAGAGAGACTATAATGATTGTGATTGTGGTGTCTATAAACATATTATTTTATGTCAAATAATATATTTTAGTGTGCGATTAATCAAGTAATTTTACTCAAGGCCATTTAAGTAAATGAAAAAATAAATTAAAATTGTGGTGGTAATATAATTAGTGGTAATTACATAAAATCATGTGTTTAAAGATTGATTTTTAAAAATCAAGTTTAAAATTTATTTATTCAAAAATCAGGTATTTTATTTTACATATCAAACCCTAAATCTATCCAAACCCTAAAGTCTAAACTAATCCATTTATCTCAACTCTCTCACAGTCTATCCATCTCTCCACTCTCTCACCATTTCTCTCCACCGCCCGTCGCCTCCACCGCCACCGTCAGTCTCTCCACCACGGCTTCGCCTCCCCTTCCCTTCACAACAGCGTCAAGGCGCTGCTGTCGTTCACTGCAGCATCGCGACGCTGGCAGCAGCGCCTCGATGTTGCTGTAAATCGCTGTTGCCATTCACAGCAATGTCGCAATGTTGTTGTGGGTGTGTGGGCTGGAGTCGCGACTTTGTGGTAGCTGTTGTGCGTGTGTGGCGGATCGGAGTTGAGGGAATCAGAGAGGCGGCGGATCTACGGGTGTTGGGCGGATCTGTGTGAGTGACTGTTGTTGGTGACTGATATGTGTGTCTGGCTGCTGTGGGTGTGTGGCGGATCGGAGTTGAGGGAATCGGAGAGGTGGCGAATTTGTGGGTGTCGGGAGAATATGTGTGAGTAGCTGTTGTTGGTGGTTAGCTGTTGTTGGCGGTTTGGGCTGATCTGTGATGGTTTAGGTGGTGGTGGTTGTTTGTGTTATTGTTGGTGGATGGTTATGGCGGCGGTGGGAATACGACGAAAAGTGTCTGTGACCAACTATTTGATCGATTTGTGACCAAATATTGGTGGTGGATTGGGATTGAGGGACGGGTGTTTTGGTGTATGTGACCAACTATACAGTTCTCCGTGTCTAACTATTAAACTGTGGCCTCAAAATTTGATTATCTGTGACCAACAAATTTGGAAATGTGATCTCTATTATCTATAATTTTTTTTAACTTGTGACCAATGAAATCAATTGTGACCTTGAAATAATCTATAACCAATTAATTTGATAAGTTGTGATAATTTTTAAATAATTAATAAGATACACTCTTCCCTATATTTGGAGATTCAAATTCTAAAATCAGATTTGGAGGTTTAAATTTCCAAAATCGGAGATTAAAATATATATATACATCTTTTTTATGTTTAATTAAATATTAACAATAATATTGTAATTAATTATAATATACACAATTCACAAACCCTACATACAATTCACACTTTCCTCTCTCTATCTATCTCTCTCTCCATTACACGCCGTCGCCTTCACCCTACACCATCTATTCGTCGGCAACACAACTCCGGTGTTGAGGCGCTTCATCGGAGGAGCATCACCGGCAGAAGCTGCGTCGTTCCCAACGGAAGCTGTCGTTGCCAGTACCGTCAAACTTGACTGGCGGAAGCTGCTGCGAACTCGCGGCAGCGTTACCCTGCTGTACTCCCGCCGTCAGCGCTGAAAACAACCTTCCATTCATCACTGTCGACGACGACCGTTGTGGCTCCATCAGCCCTCGCCTTCGCATCTGGTTTCTTTCGCCTCAGCCCCTCGTCAATTCTTTCGCCTCCCTTCAGATCCGTCGATTGCTAGTCAAAAATTGGATTCAATGCCCAAATCAAATAAACCCTAGACGAGTGGGGATAGCGGCCGATGCTGCTTGTGGTGGTTTGCGGGTGTAAACGGAGGTGGTGGTACATGATCCAGTAGTTGCGGGTGTAAACAGAGGTGATGGTGTTGTGTGTGTTGCGAGTGTGGGGGTGGTGTAAATGGAGATGGTGGTGCTGTGTGTGTGTGTTTTCGGGTGTGGTGGTGGGGGGTTTGGCGGGACGGTTTTGTGGTGGTGATGAAGTATGTATCTGTGGTGGTGGGGTGGTGGTTTTGTGGATTTTATAATTTCTGTGGTGGTGGCGGCGATATTGTTGGTGCTGGAGATTGTCATGGTTTATAGCCGGAGCGGTGGCTG